AAATCTTTTTTTCACTTACCACATTAATTTTCTGTGGAAAAGTAACAAACACAACTTGGGAAAGAATTCAATTTAGACATAGAGTACTGAAGTGTCACTGCTGTCCATGCCTGTCCACACCCACCTTCTCCAAGTCACAGACACACAAGCACCCTGAAGCATGGATGCAACCGACCGCCTCATCCTTTATCTCCCCATTAAATTACATCTCAGCCAATACTTGGGAGATACGCACTTAAAACGTGGTCATTTTCATGGTTTTGTTGCCTATCTCAGCTCCATCAACTGCTAAGGAAGCATTCCCAGCTGAGAATCACCAACCTTCCAAATTATATCCTGACCTTAACTTGACTTTTGGGGCAACGTTACTGTAGGAAAAGTTTCAAAATGTCATCCAAAAATAATCAATACACAAGTGGCTTCCCTTAGGGGTGCTGAACACATGAAGGCTTAAAGATCTCAAGGATGTATTTGCTTCAACAATTCAAATGAAAAAGTGTATCTACCACATGTGGAACTACGTTTGGCCCCAATGATAACAAGCTGAGCAAAGGGGAAAATAAAACAAGATTCCTAACAGAATTTATTAAATAAAGAACAGGAAGGACTTCCAGTGCTGGGAGCCACTGTCAGGTGGTTTGGCTCAGGGACCAACAGGTGATAATTCAATCCTGGGTCCCAGATCACTGGAATTCAGGTGGCAGAGCCATCACCTGCACCTCCCTTCCTGAACTGCTGGACCCCAGGCCTCCACTCCAGCTGACGATAGCTCTAGGGAGACTAATCTCATTCTGAGGGAAAAGAAACAAATCATTTCTCAACCAAACAGCTCAGATGCTTGTGGAGTTAACATGTTTCCCCTTCTCTGAAGGACACGATATCTTCATTCTTAGGGTCACTTGGCCTTTCCTATGTTTCTAACTCAGTGTACTCAGTGTCTTCTCTGCACCTTAGCAAATATAAAAATTACAGAGCCCAAATAACATTATAAGGCAACTGGATCAGAAGAGGAGACGATAAGAACGGACACAGAGGAGTAAGCAGTCAGATGAAAGCCAAAGCCTGCTCATTTCAGCTCATCCCACAAGTGTTTGAAATCTACAAAAAAACTGGAGTTTTCACATAATTTATAAATTCATTTAAAATGCCTTATATACAACTTATATTTTATAATCACATTTTTCACTAGAATTTAAAAGCGTTATAAACAAACACAGCTAAAAACTGTTGTGATTTTAAGTTTCCCACCTGTGACAGGCACTTTCCAAATACCTTAAGAACCAAAGAAAAGTTCATTATGACAACACTTTAGTCCACAAATTGTTACCAGTTGGGGAGCTTTCAAATCTGGCACAACTTCCCAGACGAGCAGCTGTGCATTTCCATGTTTCTGCAGGACAAGAGAGCTGAATAGCCTCATGCCATTCTTCAGACGAAAGTAAAAAAATGTTCCGTGGGAGCTAATCAGAACAGGTTTTATTGATGACTATATACCACGTACCTGCGTATTTATGAAAACATGTTGTCTATTTAAAGTGGTTTTCCAATTTATACAAGAAAACTGTCAGAAGCTATAATGAAGAGTCTCGCTCACTTACCTTGGTGAAGGTGGGGAGCAGGGTGTTTCCACAATCTGAGTCTTTTTGGCATCTAGTGTCTGGAAATGGGCTATGAGAGCTTCAAGGTCTTCCTAAAGGCAGACAGGCAATCATATGTGAGACGTTTTATTAAACCCTACTATGCAGTCAAAAGCCTGTGTCAGCTTTCCCACTGTCCACAGACAGAATCTGACACAGCTTTCTTAGAAATATGGATGCTTGCACATATCATCTCATTCCAAACCCTCACACTCCCCCAAGGACCTTCCACTTAGACGAGCCCACCCCGACTTACACCAACATCTTCAACTACCTCTCAGAAACCCAACTCTGGGCCACCCCACCAGCCTGCTTTTTTTTTTTTTTTTTATCCTCACCCGAGGATATTTTTCCATTTTTTGTACAGATAGAGTGGGAGGGAGAGAGAGGAAGGGAGAGAGAGTGAGAAACATCGACGTGAAGGGACACATCGAGTGGCTGCCACCCGCACGACCAACCAGGGCCGGGGACAAACTGCAACCGAAGTCCGTGCCCTTAGCGGGAACCGAACCCGGGTCTCTCCGGACCGCAGGCCGACGCTCTAACCACTGAGCCAAACCGGCCAGGGCCCACCAGCCTGCTTTGCTGTCTGCACAGCAGTGTCTGACATAAGAATTCTTGCTCACGTACTTTTTATTTTCTGTTTCCATCTCCCTCCCACAAAACAATAAGAGCTTCAAGCAAGACTTGTCAGTCGGCTCAGAACAGAGCCTGCATGTGCAGGCTTGGCAACTATGGGCTGCAGCCACTCTGTGTAAGAGCGTCTGTGTTTTTACAACTGCGGACAAGATTTAAGGTTTACCTATCCAGCTGGGTGGCACTGGAACTGGGTCTTCCTACCCCCAGTCTAGTGCCTATTTCCCTGCATTAACCTCCCCCCAGTCCCCAAAAGGTGATGCATGATCTGTGTGTCATGGGGAAAGTGCCCTTCTATCAGTATTCTCTTCTTGAAAGCTTACTACCCCACACATGCTCATGCTGAGACCTGGGATATGTCCCCTGCTTTTCTTCCTACCCACCCCCCCTATGCACACCCACAGCCCTCTTTCCCATGCTCCAAAATTCACACTAAAGGAGGTTAGATGTCCTTCATGCACCTACAGACACTTGTAGACCACTCTTCCTTCCTCTCCAGCCTCATTTCCTACCCCACCTCCTCACTCCAAGCTTCACTGGCTTCCTCTCAATTCCTTTAATCAGAACACATTCTCTTGACCCAAACAACCCTGGCACCACCCCCAACACCCCCCACTTGCCCTCAGTGTACCACCTTCACCTCCTCAAAATAGCCACTATCTGGAACTGGGTGCTCATTACTTTCCAGCATTTCTTTACACTTTTACTACATGTTATTTATCCCTAAGTTATAAATGTGTGTGTGTGTGTGTGTGTGTGTATATATATATATATATATATATATATATAAAACTTATACACACACACACATATATCTATATCTAGCTATCTATATATATGTATATAACTTAGGGATAAGTAACATATGTATATTACAGCGGGTCCTCGAATAACATCGTTTTGTTATAACGTTGATGAGATGGATAGGAATTTAACTCTTGTTTAGCACAGAGTAAAACTGGTGTCAGTATACAGCCACACCTTAGAGATACTGCAAGTTCAATATCAGACCACACAATAAAGCAGGTATCGCAATAAAGAGTCATAATCTTTTTGCTGGTGGAGGGTCTTCCCTTCAATTTATAAAAACACAACATCTGTGAAGAACAATAAAGTAAATTACAATAAAACAAGGTATGCCTATATGTCATTTCACTTAAAGTAACTGAACCTATGGACAACATTAAGTAAGGACTTACTGTATTGTTTTATTTTTCAATCCGATGTAAATGGTATCATACTGTATATTATCTCGCCACTTGCTCTTTTGCTAAACAATTTAATACACTGAATCCACTCACTTTCACTATGGCAGAGCTACCACGCCGCCACAGCTTTTTTATACAGCCTGTTGATGAATGAACATCTGGGTCAATTCCAATTTTTTGTTTATATAAACAATACTACTATGGCCATTTTTGTACCTGTCTTTATGTAGTTGGGGAAGTTATTCCAAGGTAAACCTTTAGGTGTGTAACTACTAGGCTGTAGCTTCTATTTGTCTAGATATAGTAGGGTCCAAAGTGGCTCTGCTCATTTTCACTCTCACAGCAGTCTATGGAAGCACCTATTCTCCTGCTACTTCTATATAGGTAGTTACTTAACGGCTGTCCTGTTGACCAACACGTCCCTAATGCCTAATGTGCTGCATTAGGTACTCACGACAAATTACTGAATGACTGGAATTTTACAGAAAGGCCTGGAATGAGGAGGGAACTGTTGGGGTCACAATTAGTTCAGAGCTCCTGGTCCAGTGTCATTCACCTCAGAAAAGATCTTCCTTAAGGGCAGATAAGGTGGGAGGAAGGAGTAGCTGGGATAAGGAGCAGCAGGTGTCAAGGGAGAGCTGCTTGATCAGTCTGGGTGCAAACTGGCACTAATGCCCCCCATTGTGCAATTAACCCCAGCCACATGAGGATAGGCTTTCCACCGGTGTCTCTGGTTCCGAGAAGGCTTAGTGCTCAACTCAGTAAGGGCACAGGCTCTGCCTTCTGGAGACCCGCTTCGACTCCCACTTCTTGCCACTTCACAAGTGTGCGACCCTGATCGGTGTACTCTGATTTCCCGCCAACTGGGGCCGCCAAAGCTACCTAATTCACTTGATTGTGAGGATTAAAACCCAGAGAGGGCAGTGCCTGGCACACAGCAGACACCAGTTTAGAGAGCCGGAGATCAACAATCAATAGAAAGCGGGAGGCTCAACTCTTAAGCTCACCCTGTTCCTTTGCAAACCCTGCCAAGAAAGAGAGAAAGTGGGAGAGAGAGGAAGGCAAGGGTGTGTGTGTGGGGAGGGGGGGGCGAGAAAGAAGAGCGTGATGACTACCGTCAGCTCTTAGGGAATGCCCAGAGTTCCACCTACTCCGCAGACGCTCACTGCTCAGGGATGCCGTGAGAACTGCTGTCTTTTACAGATGAGTAAGGCTCAGACCGAAGCCCTTGCCTCCAGATCACGCCCCTTGCAGGGGCGCGTCCGCTCATCCCCGGGTCCTCCAGCGCGCGGCCGAACGAAGCGCGGCCACGCCAGTGACCCAGGACGAAGGAAGCCGGCGGACAAGAACAAGGCACCTCGCCCGTCCCGCCGGGCCCCGCTCACCTCCTCCTTCCGTGAGCGTTTGGACACCTTCTTCTCCATTTTGGCGGCCGTCTTCTCCGCCCCGCGGCCCTTCTTCTCTTTCTTGCCCTTCTTGCCCATCGTGCCGGGTCCGACGCGGCGCCGGGACGCTGAGGATGGTGGAGAGCGGCGCGCGGCGCGCCGGAAGTGCGTTTCCGGGGGCGGAGCGCGGAGGTGCGTCACTTCCGGGCTCGCGGGCCCGGGATCCAGCCGCTTTCTTCCGCAGTCTATGGTTGGAAATGGGCTTGAGGGTCTCGCGCTCCGACTGCTTTCCGCGGAGAACGTGGCTGGCCCGGCCCAAACGGAGCGGGCCGGCACCGGGTCCCCTCGTCCCTGCGTCCTTAGCCGCCCCAGGGGACGCAGCAGTTGTGTTCGGAGCGACCCAGCCTGGCCTCGAAGGCTGGTGTCGGGGTTTATTGCACTGGGCAAATTGCTTAGCCCTGTGTAGAGTGACCCGATTGGGGACTGTGTAAGGGAGCGACGTTTTTTCTACCTTGGACCCTTTTGGAGATGAAATGATTGTTGTGGCTTCATCCTCCAGAAAGGTGTTCATGCACTTACAAGGATTTGCCGGCCCTAAGTGCAGCAATCCCTTCTCCCGCACAAAACGTGCCAGAACGGTTAGGTGCTGGAATATTTTTTGCTCATCAAGAAAAACGCAACCCTGCCACTCTGCTTTCTGTGGGACTTTCCTCAAATGTCCTGTGTTAGAGGACTAATTTCTTCATTGGTAGAACAGGACTACTGACACCTCCCCTCCAAGGGGAGTCCGTTGATCAAGCCTGAGGGGCTAGAACGGCCCACTAGGAAATTGTACTCCAGGATTTGACTCAATGTAATAAATGGGAAAAATCTCTTGTAGGCTATGGAATGCTGTGGTTTGGACAGAGCAAAGTGGAAATGCTTATCATTTCTTAGAAAACAGCTTCTAATCAAAGAAATTGAACCAATTAAGGACAATCACAAGCAACCATTTGGCAAAGGAAAAGCATACATCAGGGAATGATCTAGTTTCTTACTTTGTGGATGAACTGCCCACAAGGCTCAGCCTTAAAGAATTCACCTTAGATCTAATCAATTTGCAATCACTGAACAGCCAGGGAGTAATGCTTTTCCACACAACTCCAAGCCCTGTCAAGAAACCTAGTTCTTTTTTTTTTTTTTTTTTTTCTTTATTGATTTTTAAAGAGAGAGAAAGTGAGAGGGCGAGAGAGATAGAAACATTGATGAGAGAGAACATCGATTGGCCACCTCCTGCATGCCCCCCACTGGGGATCGGGCCCACAACCTGGGCATGTGTCCTGACTGGGAATCCAACCAGCGACCTCTTCATCATGGGTCAACACTCAACCACTGAGCCACATTGGCCGGACCAGAAACCTAGTTCTTTAAGAAGAAACTGAAATTTGGGGAGATTAAGAGAAGAAAAGGTAGGATAGGATTCTGGCTGCCACTCTCTCTAGCACCACTTGTCAAAGAATAGGAGAACACCTCTGATGGTAGAAAAAAAAGAACCAGTTAGAAGCTGATCAAGATGGAGCAGGAGAATTTCACAGAAACCTGCCTCCTGAGTCTCCAGACATGATCATCTTCACAATGAGCTACAAAAGGCAAAATCCTCGAAATGCAGACATCATTACTTTCCCTCCAGTTCAGCAGTTCTCAACCTGTGGGTTGCGACCCCTTTGGGGGTTGAATGACCCTTTCATAGGGGTCGCCTAAGACATTACAGTAGCAAAATTACAGTTATGAAGTAGCAACGAAAATAATTTTATGGTTGGCGGCCACCACAACATGAGGAACTGTATTAAAGGGTCACAGCATTAGGAAGGTTGAGAACCACTGCTCTAGTTTAATATGACTAAGAATGTGCCAAATCCTTTTATACTTTTCTAAGAATATCAGATAACCATGAGGCAATGCGCTTGAAGATGGCCCTTCAGTCACAGTACAGCTGTGTGCAATACCTTACAGCAGTCCCCTCTTAAGGGCTTAAAAGGGGGAGCACATTCCCTCGTGAAAATTTAGAAGGATCTAGTAGATGCAGGGCTTAATACTTTTATTATCCAAAAGACTCTTGAAGCTGAATTGGAAGGCTCTTGGATTATGTGCCATGGTGATTTACGTATAAGGTTGAAATTCTCATTACTGAGAAAGAGAATAGAACATTTAAAATGAGATCAGAATCCTAAAATAGTTTTAAAAAAAGATTAAGTACAGGGTCTTATTTTAGTGAAATTCACATTTTTGAAACTTTAATGGGTTATCTTAAATCTAATAATACATCAACTTTCAAGTGTAGTTTTGTGTGGTCAGACGCCCTCTGCTGTCTTCAAGTTGAAATCCAGAAGAGAAAAAATAGTCATGACCATCACCAGCAATCATCAGTGTAACTGGACAGTTCTCTGAAGTGTGATGTAGATGTGAGGTTGTTCTTTGCATGTTTCCCATATGGAGAGTAAGAATATTAAATCCACCCACCTACTACTCAGAATTCTTGGGAGAATGAAGTGAAAACATAAGAAACCTTAGAAAATTAAAAAGGAAAATACAAATGTAAGAGATTTCAGGTGCTGTGAAATGAGGTCACGATTTGAGCTGGCTGACAGTCATTTCATTAACTGGATACTATAACGTATGGACATTGTACTTAGGTCATCTGAGATACAAAATATCTGAGATACAAAACAGAAGACCAGCCTCCAGCTTCGAGGTTTTGTTCTAAGGAGAAAAACATGATGGTCCTCAAATGCTTTATGAAATGAAGCAAGGAGTAAGGGAGGAAGAAAGGAAGGAGGGAGGAGGGGGAAGGGGAAAAGGAAAGGAAAAAGGAGGGAAACAGTGAAATCGAAATCATTGTTTCATATATTTTGTCCAGTTTTCTAGTTGTCTGAAGGACAGAATAAATTCAGTATCATTGCTCCAGTGTGGCTAAAAGCAAAATTCTCTCCTCTTTGGGGTTAAAGAATGCTGCTTAATGTCCAACTATTTAGAGATCTTTTTGCTATTTATTTCAAATTTAATTCATTAGTTTAAGATATCTTAGAGTTTAGTGCTCTCAATTTCCCTTTATTTTATTTATTTATTATTTATTTTTATCCTCACCCGAGGACATTTTTCCATTTTTTGTTCAGACAGAGTGGGAAGGAGAGAGAGAGAGAGAAACATTGACGTGAAAGGGACACATCGAGTGGTTGCCACCCACACGACCCAACCAGGGCCAGGGACAAACTGCAACTGAGGTACGTGCCCCTAGCGGGAACCGAACCTGGGTCTCTCCAGACCACAGGCTGACGCTCTAACCGCTGAGCCAAACCGGTCAGGGCTCAATTTCCTTTTAAATACTGCTTCAGCTGCCCCTAAAACATTTAATATATTGTGTTTTGATTTTCATCCAACTCAAGTTACTTCTTCTTTTGATTCCTTGTTAAATCCCTGAATTACTTAGTGTGTTATTTAGTTTCCAGATAGAGATTTTCTAAAGATCTTTCTGAAAGGTAATTTTGTTCTCTGTTTTTATGATTTATCTTCATCTTTATTATCCTTCAGTTTCACTAAGATATATTTAGATATTAATTCCTTTTTATTTTCTGCTTGGGAATTGGTCGTTTCTGTGACGCTGTGGCTGGTGGCTTTCTCCTGGCCTGGTATGCTGTTGCCCCCTTCTCCCTCCTCTTCTTCTGGAGCTCCTGAAAGAGTTAGTAATGTTTTAAAAGGTAAAGGTAAAAGCTTGCAAAAGTTTGCGGAAACTGAAAAATGTGTTGCTTGCGTGACCTTTGCTCAGCCTTCTGTTGAGTACGGATAAGGATTATCTGGATTATCTATCTGCAAGACAATGAATCACCCAGCAGATGCCAGAGGAGATACCAGACCAAAAGTGGACCATGGGCCAGGCAGAGTACATCAGCAGGAACTGCCAGAAGCTAAAAGTAGAGTATATAACCGACACCCCAATTGTGATTCGAGGCTGAACTCTGCACCCAGGCGCATGCAGTAGAGCTGTTTTGCTCTGCATTGGCCTTGTGTTGTGGATGTGATCTCCCACCGGCTCAGACCTTTTAGCTCCAACTAAATAAGTGATGTCCCTTCTCACCCTCCCTTTCAGGTTTCTTAACCTCTCTTCTCCATTTTCCATCTACTTGTCTCCCTGTGCTGCATTCTGGATAATTCTTTCTGGTTTTCTGGTTTATTAGCTCATGGCTTCTTTGCTCAGCTCCATCAAATCTGTCTCATGTGTTCCTATATTTTAAAATTATGATTAGTTTATTTTTAATGGTTCTATTTCTTTTCTCAAATCTACTAGGTCACTTTTATAGCTATTCCCTGCAGCTATTCTCAAGTTCGTCTTTTCTTTCCTTAAATTAAGTAAATGTTAATCAGTTTGTACTGCAATAATGCTGCTCATTATCTGTAAAGAACTACTTGTGGCTATCCTCTGAAAGATTTCAGCCACAGCATCTTTCTCCAGAGGGGAATTGCTCTTGCTTCTGCCAGACAACCATGGGCACTGTCAGCTCATGACATCCTGAGTCCAGATTCTGATAACCCAGGTGGTGCAAGCATAGGTTGAAAATCCAAGGAAGAGTTGGGATGTGATTACAGTATCTCAGGGATCTTGCCTTCCCCACTTAGAACTGAGATGACTTCCTGGGGTTTCCCAGGTCCTGGGGGGTAGGGTAACCCCTACCTCACCCTCATCCTTCAAGCACAGCTCTTAGATGCCAGCTTAATCTGCAGGGGATCGCCTCTTAGATCCCACATGGGCAGCCTTGGGTTTGATGATTCTTTTCTCTTGCTCTTTAAGGCTGTCAGAACTGGAGTCAGATGTGGCAACATGTGCCCATGCCCAGAACAAAAGCCATCTCAAAGCCTAGTTTCTATCCAATATTTTGCTTTTACTTGCTGTTAGGTTCTGATTTGGTTATTCTTTTTTTTTTTTTCTTTTTGGTACGTGCCCCTAACAGGAACTGAACCCGGGACTCTCTGGTCCGCAGGCCAACGTTCCAACCGCTGAGCCAAACCGGCCAGGGCTGATTTGGTTATTCTTTACTCCTTGTTAGCTTTCTGATGCCTTTAAGAAGACTCTTTTCAACATTTATCCAGCATTTTTTAGTTATTTTGAATGGGAGGAGTGGTCCAAATAACCTAATCTAACATATTACTTAAAATGTAGCATTGCTTCCTTTTTACAATGATGTCTTTTATGTGTAATTAATATAGACTGATGATTAAAATTTGGAAAATAAGCCCTGGCTGATTTGACTCAGCGGTTAGAGTGTCGGCCCTCAGACCAGTGAGTCGTAGGTTCGATTCCAGTTGAGGGCATGTAGCTTGGTTGCGGTTCGTCCCTGGCCCCAGGGCTGTGCAGAAGGCAACCTGTTGATGTGTCCCTCTCATGTTGATGTTTCTCTTTCTCTTCTCTCCCTCTCTCTTCCTCTCTTCCTCCCACTCTATCTGAAGATAAATAGAAAAATATCCTTGGGTGAGGATTTAAAAAATAGATAGATAGATAGATAGATAGATAGATAGATAGATATGATTTGGAAAAGAAGAAAAGTGTAATGAAGGAAGCAGCAAAGTCACCCATTGTCTTCTCTCCCATGAACAACTCAGTATTTGGGGAAATTTTCTGCTGAATTATATTAAGCAAAGATCTGTGTAGAAGCCTTACTCCTGCTTAGCTTACATGTACAGGGCCTCCTTCAGTTTTAAAAACTTTTTTTTTTTTAATTTGAGAGCGAGAGAAATACCTACTTGCTTCTGTGCCCATTCATGCATTCATTGGTTGACTCCAATATGTGCTCTTATCAGGGATACAGCCTGAAACTTTGGCCTGTTAGGATGATGCTCTAACCAACTGACCCTCCTGGCCATGGTGAGCCTCCTTCATTCTTGCTCTTTCTCTCACTTCTTTATCACCAGATCTCAGTCTCAGAGGCATCACAGGAAGACCAAGGACGTTTTTTTAAACCATCAGATGCAAATACTGGGGAGAAGGAAACACCAAAACCTAGACATAGCACAGAAAATGGAACAAAAGACAGAAGCCATGCTGGATATGCGAATAGCACCTTTAACATCATAGGCCCCACAGTGCATCAGTGAGTAGGTTGAAATGAAGCCACAGACAATGCAGGTTACTCACATGAGCCTGCAAGCTCACATCTGTCCTCATGAGTGTGTTCCCTAAGCCTACCTAAAATACAACCCAAATCAGCTTTCCTTCCTGCAAGGGTCAGAGGCACCAGACTAGAGAAAACACAGCATGGAAACAGTGCAAATCTATCCCTAATCTGAAATTTGTTTTCAAAATGAAAACTCCTTGACCAAATAGTTGGAGATGATGATTCTTAAAGTTAAGTCAATTTTTAAAATCCTTATATCACCATTTGAACATCTGTCTCTTTAATCCTGCCTAACCCAGGGACCAGCTCAACTGTTAAACCCTATTATCTCATAATCAACAACTTATGTTTAGGGTTCATGCAGTAAGCAGCCCCTAAAATTCTAGCTGCCTAGCTATGAAAATAGATTGCACCCACTAAAACTGAATCCTCCAGAAGGGTTTTTCTCTCACTGTTCACCCATGTGGTTCTGATCTCAGGCCACCTGGAGGAGGCTGGGTGTTAAGGAAGAACACTTCTGAAACCTACATTCTGAACACAGAGCTAACCACATCCTCCCACTCTTGTCAACACTAGTCAATGATCTAACTATTATAAAACACGAGACATCAACAAAGACTTCTACATCAGAAGCTGAGGGTTGGTACGTTGTAAAAGGCCTGCAAATTCCAGCTACCTCAGTATCCCTAAACTCAGACCTTGGTCTCAGCTCAACAAGACCACCTGCTCTGTTGGGCTCCTGCCCCTGTACCAGGGTGCAGAGACTGCCTCCAGAGGCAGAGAGCTCACCCAGAAACTGGATTGGAGAACAGGTGTTGCCCAGTATTCAAAGACATGCCAGGAATAGTATTCATGTTATATGATTTCCAAGTAAGTCAAAATTTCCCCATTAACAACATTTCTTCCAAAGGTCACAAGAATACTCTAGAAACATATTGCATTTTAATTATCCATGTGCTACATCTCTCTTTTTCTAGATTTTAATCTACCTCAGGCCTTATCTTCTTTTCTTAATCCTCATCCGAGGATATGTTTAGTTTTTGTTTGTTTGTTTGTTTCTTAGAGAGAGACATGTACAGTTGCCTCCTGTACATGTCCCAACTGGGAATTGAACCTGAAATCTAGGTATAAGCCCTGACTGGGAATCGAACCTGAAACCTTTTGGTGTACAGGATGACACTCCAACCAACTGAGCCACCCACCCAGGGCAACACTCCCTCAGCCCTTATCTTATTCACCTTTGTATTCCTAGAACAAACTGTTTGTTAAATATTAATAAATAATAAATAAACAGTGACTTTATTAGGTCCCCAAATGACTCACAAAGCGATGCAGAGACCATCTGTCTGGCATGGTCAGAGGAGGGGAATATTTTAGTTGGTCAACTATTCTAATAAAATATACTGTATGCAGATCATTCATTCCAAATGCTGAGAATCTCACACATTTGAAATCAAAGCTCAGGTGAGACAAAAATGAATATTTAGCTTTCTAGCAGATCTAGCAGAGGAAGAGGACTGATAAATACATTTACAGTTGCTAGAATGAGAGATCAGCCAGTTCCGATGCAATCTGAACAGGATGCAAGTCCTGCCTTCCCTGCTAATGGGCTTGACAGGAGGTTTGACAGTCTCATTGAAAACCCCTAACTCTGATCTTTAACACCCCCATGAACAAATTTGATGTTGGCTCTCACTGGTTTATTACATTTGCCTGCCTTCCTCCCTCCCTCCCTTTTTATTTTTTGCTCTAACCTGAGAAGAAGGCCTGGGGTGGGCAGAAGGAAATTCTACAGCAGTGGGCCCTGAAAACACTGCTAATGCTGAGAGGAAAACACAAGAGTAGGTTGTTCCAGGGACGGGGTGGAAGCTGATCCATGGCAAAATCGTGACACCTGTAAAATTGCTGTGACACTGTGTGAGGCCCTCAGGCTCCGTTTCTGCTGCCTGGACCCATGGGGAGGGTCTTCAAGGGCCCCTCGGTATGTCTCCGATGTCCCAGTCTCTCAAATATCCTCTCTCTACAAAGACACAGTTAACTGATGATGTTACATGTCCCGTGGATTGCGCCACATCATCTGTCATCAGGAAAATGCAAAGTAAAACAGAGACACCACCGCACACCTAGGGGAACCCTCCAAATCCGGAGCACTGGCAGCACCACATCCGGACAAGGAGGGGGAGCATCTTTCCACCTAGGCAGTGTGTTTCATCGACCCTCAATTCATCTCAAAGAGTAGCAAGCCTGTAGGATCAGTGTTGTGAGGAAGTCAGGGCACAGTGGGTGGCGTCTCGGAAACCAGTGTCCACCGCACAGAACGTAGGGTTGGGAGACACCGAACCTGAAGGCTCTCATGGCTGTGGCTTCCTTACAACCCACTCACTGACTCTCGGTGGTGCACCCGGCTTCAAAAGCTGCTTCCTGGCCACAAACCGTCCCCATCCTCCCCGAACGAGTGCTGCTGGAAGTCCCCGGTGAACATGCCCACGCTGCACGCCGCTGACCAGCAGGGGGCGACGGGGCGACAACACAGGGGACCCTGGCTCCAGCCGCAGGCCCACGTGGAACGTTCCCATTCATATGCATTTAATAATTTTAAAAACGAGAGAAAGTAGAGTAAAGCTTGACCACGTTTTAAAATGACCAGGCCTCTCTCTCGCACACGCACACGCGCACGGTCGCTCTGAGAGCCATCTCTGCATTGTTCCCGGGGCCGCCTGTCCCCGCTGCCCCCTGCAGCCACCTCGGCCGCGCGTCTCCGCCGCCGCCAACTCCGGCAGCTTCTTTGCCGCTTTTTTTTTTTTTTTTTTTTTTTTAATCCACTGCTTCGGATCACCCGCGTGCCCCGCCGTGGCAGACGCGGCCGAGGACACCAGCTCCGAGGAGGCAGAGAATGGCCGAGACGCACCTGCTCGTGGGAACGCTAACGAGGAAAATGGGGAGCAGGAGGCTGACAAGGAGGGGAGGAGGGGTGATGGTGAGGAAGAGGATTGGGATGAAGAGAAGGAAGCGGAGGCAGCTATGGGCACACGGGCAGCTGAAGATGATGAGGATGACGACGTTGACACCAAGAAGCGGATGACCAATGAGGACTAGACAGCGAAAAAGGAAAAGTTAAACTTAAAAAGGAGGGGAAGGGAACGTGACCTATTCACCCTTCAGTTCCCCTCTCAGAATCTAAGCCTGGTCACCTTGGAGTACAGAGCGCCCCCCTACGCCCCCGCATACGCCAACCACCCCACCCCCACCCCCACTTCCACCCCCACCCCCACCCCACCCCGTGAGCCACCTGCAGACAACCGGCGCTCTCCACCACCCAGCCAGAACCACAACCTGTATTTGCAACAGGAAAGGAAAAAGAGAACACAAACTTCCAAGGCCCTGCTGTTTTTCTTAAAAGTACTTTAAAAGGGAAATTTTGTTTGTGTTTTTCATTTACATTTTATATATATATTTTTTTTTTATCCTCACCCGAGGACATTTTTCCACTTTTTGTACAGATAGAGTGGGAGGGAGAGAGAGGAAGGGAGAGAGAGAGAGAAACATCGACGTGAAGGGACACATCGAGTGGCTGCCACCCGCACGACCAACCAGGGCCGGGGACAAACTGCAACCGAAGTACGTGCCCTTAGCGGGAACTGAACCCGGGTCTCTCCGGACCGCAGGCCGATGCTCTAACCACTGAGCCAAACTGGCCAGGGCTACATTTTCTATTTTTGTACATATTGTGAGGAGTCAGCCATTTTTCCTTGCGATAACCAAACCAGCCTCTGAAGCGTTCTCTGTCCTACTTCTGACTTGTGGTGCCACCATGTTGATTATAATCTCAGAGGAGAAAAAAAACAAAAACAAAACACGTTGCAAGAAAAGCAAAATTCACCACCACCACCACCAAAACAACCTTATTTCGAGCATTCCGGTAACTTTTTGTGTAGGTACTTAGCTGTACTATAAGCACTTGGTTTGTATGAGATGGTTAAAAAGGTCAAAGATAAAAGGTTTCTTTTTTCTTTTTTTGGCTATGAGGTTAGTGTTTGTGTATTTATTTATTTAGGCCTGTTTGATGTATGTGTGAAACAATGTTGTCCGACAATAAACTGGAATTTTATTTTGCTGAGCTGTTCTAAAAAAAATAACCAGATACTTTGTGAAGTGAGCATTGTCACCCTCCCATTTTTGACCCTTAACCCATGCCTTCCCAGTCCCTGGGGAAGAGGTCTTCATTCCTTTGTGATAATATACTTAAGTAGAAGGTGGCGTCTTATTTTCCCTTAACATCAAACCACTTTGATCCGAGGGTCAGGTGACCAGGGTGGAGTAGACTGGGCACTTTCTGGCCATTGCAGAGAAACTACCTGACCCTTTCTTGGGCCCAGGGTGTAGGCGAAAAGGGCCAAAGGACCAGGAGCTTAAATCAGACCCCAGCGCCTGGGCTCAGCAACAGCAGATGGAGCTTCTTCAGAGGAGCCAATGGTTCTAATGGGTCACTAGTTCCCCTGGCAGGAGTCAGGCCCAGAACTCTGTATGGGCTGTGGGCAATGAGCCCCAGAGGTCAGCTTTATCTCCCTGCCTACACCCTCACAACAGTGCGGTGGGTTGGCAGTGCGCCCGTGTCATCTGGAGATGGCCAGGCCTCGCTTTCACTAGGGCTCCCGCTGGCTGATGCAACTTGGTCTAGAAGTTGAATAGAAGCACGGAGCCCGGCAATGTTGCAGCCAGACAGCAGAGGTCAGCGCTGGCACACATAACGGTGGCCTCCTCTGGAGGCCACGTGACACCAACCTTGCATCATCCTTCCTGGCATCCAAGGGCCCAGGAGGAGGGCTCTTTGACTAGCCGCTGTCTGGGCTGAGCCCGCAGGAAAACACCTGAGCATCGGAGATAGAGGAGTCCCAAGCTTTTCGCGCCACGGAGGCTGGCCTGCTGCCAGAGTCATAGACAGAGTTTGTGGGTCCCCAGCAGACCTATAGCTGTGCACCCGGTTTCACCTACAGGCCAGTTGCGATGGCTTAGAAAAGCCGCCTTTCAGAGCTCACTGCTCTCTCCCAGGTAAATACTGTGTTAGAAGCTGCATTTCTCTCTGTTTTGTAAAGGGGGCTTCGCTACTGATTTAGTAATGGTTTTGCAAGACGAATTAAAAGAGGAAATAGTCTGCCGGTTTTTACATTTACTCACACACACAGTACCCTAGCAGTGGGTTTGGCTGGCCCCCTGGGCCCCCAGGAGAGTCTGCCAAGCTTTCATAATCTAGACAGAGGAGCCGGGGAAAGGAAGCCAACCAAATACCGGAATGTTTGCAATCCCCGGCGTCACCATCACCCACAGTCTTCAGATGTCTATGGAAATCCCTAAGTATTGATTTGCTCAACTGTTCTGAAAACAAATGAATGCAAAATTCTCCTTTCTGCCTGCCAGGTGATAAAGTGATCATCCAGGACTCAGGGTCTAGGATCACTGTTTGCGATTTTATTTTATTTATTATTATTATTGTTATACTTTTTTAAATTTATTTTTTTAGATAGGGAGGGAGGGAGGGAGGGAGAAAGAGAAACATTCATGTGAAAAAGACACATCGATTGATTGCCTCCAGCACGACCCAGACAGGGGCCAGGGACAAACCCGTAACCCAGGTACGTGCCCTTGACAGGGAATTGAACCCACGATCCTTCGATTAGAATGCTGATGCTCTAACCACTGAGCAACAGGCCAGGGCCTGTTTGCAGCATTATAACCCTAATCCTTCAAGAGCCCCAGCTTGCCAGCCTCTGAGCTTTCCCCACCTCCTTCCCCCACCTTCTTCCCCTGCAGGGTTTCTAACCTGCTCTCTGCATCCACCCCCCTCCTGCCCACCTGCCCTGCCCCTCCTGCCCCTTCTCCCTCTCTCCTCTTTCTCCAGCCTCCTAGTGCTTTCACCTGTGGCTTGTTGTCATCATCATCATCATCATCATTAAATACATTTTCTTATTTTGGAATAATTTTGGATTTGCAGAAAACTTACAAAGATAGTTCCAATAGTCCTTGTGTGTTCCTCTCCCGTGACCATGGTATATTGATCAGAACCCAGAAACCAGCACTGGGACTTGACGATTAGCTAAACTCCAAGCTTTATTTGCACTTTGCTGGTTTTCCCAATAATGTCCTTCCTCTGGTCCCATTCAGGATCTCACGCAGGGTACAAGGTTGCATGTAGATGTGGCTCACTTCTCGGTGCAGGCAGTGAACCATCCTGCCAGCCTGTAGTCTCCACCCTGCGCTCTTGGGAGAAAAGACACACTTTATTGTAGTTCTCAGTTCTCTTAAATGCCTTTGGGTGAAGTGACAAAAATGGCCAAGAGCATTCATTTGACATTCTCCCCAGCCACTGGCGACACTGGCCTTCCCCCATTTTTTTGAGGTAACCTCTTGCCTCGGTATCGTGTGTTAGTCACTCACTATTTAGTATAAACTGCACGCTTTGCTGCAGAGCTGCACATGGCTGAGATATGCAGATGGGGAGTTCTCTGGGATAGGAATCATCTAGAATCTTGAGCAGCAGTAGAAATTAAAGCATCTTTCAGAATCCCATTGATTAGATAGAGTTCCCTCGTTCCTTTTGTGACTGGCAAAGCGTTTTGAAGCATCTACCCCCAGAACCTTCACATTAGCTGTGTCTCATTGATGCCCACCCTCCACATCCTTCCCCCAACCCCACAGCCAAAGTGCTGACATGGTACATTATTTGAGACACACTTCCAAGCAGCATCAAGAGGCTGGCAAGATGAATTCTTTACTCTAGAAAAGGGGAGAGACTCTCTCCGTAAGAAAATCTTACCAAGGCTGGGCCCTCCTTCAGGGCTCATCTCCCAGCACTCCGATGCCTTTGTCCAACTGCCCGAAGGTCATAGGATTCAACTCAGAAAATCAAAACAAACCCATGGCCAAGGGATCCAGAAATGAAAATGTGTTTCACAAGCGTATCAGAGGGAATGCTTACTTGTTTTGTTAGGACAGATAGCTAGTTAGACATGAGCGGAGGACAAAGGGGGAGAGAGGGGGTAGATTATCCACATGCATTCCTGAACATCTGTAAAGCCTAAGGTAAAAATTTTAAGCCACCTGGACTTACAGTCATCAGATCTCTGATTCAATCTCAGGACATTGTTCAGCTACATAGGTCACCAGTTTCAGTCACCCAGCATGTGCACAGGTGGTTAAGCAAGGTGAGGGGGCGGAAGGACAGGAGTGGAGAGATCTAGAAAGACAAAGCCCATAAATACTGAACTCTGTAACTGATTGGGGGGCACTCTCGCTCTGGGGTGCCCTCTCAGCCCGTCTGAGTGTATTTCCATACTGCCAATACATTCTTGCTTGCTTTGCTGCACTTTGAGTCTTGATTGAAATCCTTCCTTCAAGAAGGCAAGAACTGAGGTCTCGTCATCTCACCAATAGTATATTTGATGCCGTGGCTCTGATTGTTCTTACTGTGACTCCGATTGTTTCATCACTGGCAAGCCAATTGTCCTTGCCACCTTGGCTTGAAGGACATGACTGACTGTGTTCTCTTTCCCCTGCATCTTTTTCTCCAGCCATGGGGTTCTCTCTCTGTCTCTCTCTCTCTCTCTCTCTCTCTGGATTGCTGCACTGTGTGGGCACAGGTCAAGCATTTAAAAGATTTTTTGTTTTTGTTTTTAAATATATCTCTATTGGTTTTTCAGGGAGAGAGAGAGAGAGAAACATCAATGTGAGAAAGATCAATTGGCTGCCTCCTGCACGCCCCCTACCGGGAATAGAGCCTACAACCTGGGTATGTACCCCCACCAGGAATCAAACCAGGACTCTCAGTCCATGGGATGATGCTCAATCCACTGAGCCACACTGGCTGGGTGAACATTTAAAAGTTTTTAGGGCTCTCGCTACTAGAAGACTCCCATGACAGGATGAGTCGGTCATGGACCGGGGAAGTTTGCACTAGGCACCCCCCAAATGCAAGACAATGTCCATTCACCCAGGAATACTGTTAAATCACACAAGGCCCTTCCCGTGACTTTTCTCTGCTGGGTTACTATTTCCAATGTAGAGATAGAGAGAGAGATCCTTGCCTTTTGGCTGGAAGGATGTTCTTTCCTTCCTGTTCTTTCTTCCTTTATGCCTGGAGTTACATTCAGGCTGACTTTCTTTCAGCTTCTTTTGAAATCCTCCAGGTAGAGCTAAAGATTAAGGGTTGAGAAGAATCAGGGCTATAGATAAGAGTCAATATAACTAAGGATAGGAAAAAAAAAATCAGCCATGGCTAATTTTTGACTTTGGCTTTTCAATTAGAATTGCTTTCTGAGGGTCTGAACAAAACCATTTACCCAAATGAGAGCTGAACTTGTTCAGCTCCAAAGGTGAGGGGTACATCCTCCCTCCAGCCCGAATCTCGGGTATTCTTAGGCAACTAAGAATCTCTGAGGAGCTGTCAGAGGATATACCTCACAATGTGCAGGAGTCCCAACGCAACGGTATTTAATTATTTGACTCATCTGGAAAACGCCCATAAAGTTTGCAGCTCAAGAGAAACCAAGGCATGTAAGAGGGTTTGCAACAACTTGGGAGATAAAAGCCCCTTGGGGCTCAACCCACAAACAGCACACCTTCAACCCATTACACAGCATCCCGAGAAATCTATGCAGACCCTACAGATCTCAAAATAAAACTAAAATCAACATGGGAAATGGTGCCTCCAAGGCTGGAAACTCCCAGCCCCCAGCCCCCATTTATACTGCTGACAATGAACAAAAAGCCTTTACTTGCAAGTACTTACAGAAATGGGAAAAAATATCTAAAAATAATATCAACTTAAGATGGTCAAAATATAGCCCTTTTGATGCCTAAATTAATTTTTATGTGAAAAAAAAAAAAAAAGCCAGCTCTAAAATTAAAGCTGAACGAAGGAAAAGCTTATCTTGATTGGAAATTAGAGGCTTCTAGGAGTGGCACAGGTAAATTACCCCCAGGGTAGAAGAGCCAAAAAGGCTGGTCTTAAGCAAGAGAGGAAAAAGAAATTATATACATTCCTTATACTAAAACAGAATTAAAGAATCTGCCTAAAGATTTCCCTAACTTTCTCTGGGGCCCTGCGGGGCTAGCAAAGAAATTTTTATTATTATTTTTTCTTTATTGATTTTAGAGAGAAAGGAAGGGAAAGGGAGAGAGAGACAGAAATATCGGTGAGAGAGAACATTGATTGGCCACCTCCTGCATGCCCCACACTAGGGATTTGGCCCACAACGTGGGCATGTGCCCTGACAGGGAATCTAACTGGTGACCTTTTGGTGGATGCTCAACCACTGAGCCACACCAGCCGGGCAAAGGAATTTCATTGAACTATCAAGAGAATATGGTCCTGGCTTTTCTGACCTATTCCAATTAATCTACCTACTGGTTTCTGGGAGCAAAACAACAGAATTACTAAGCAGGGTCTACAGGAACACTCCTGCAGCAGAAGTCTGTTTTCATTGTGGAGAGCCAGGTCGCCTTGAAAAGGGTTAGGAAACACTGAACTAGGAATGGGAGGAAAGAAAGCCCGAGGACCGAAGGCAGCAAACCTTCCTGCACACTGTCAGGCATCGCCAGTGGGTCTGCCACTTCTGGGAATTTCAGAAATGAATAAAATGACAAGCAGTCACAACCTTATCCTTGACATCAGGCACTATGTCAGGCCTCCTCAGGCATCTTGAGAAATGGAGAAGATAAAAGACACACTGGCAAGCTCACTTGCTCAAGACTAGGGTGTACACGTGAACCCCAGCAACAAGGGGTCGAGGAAGGAGATCCGATCCGTGAGTCTAGGGACGCAGTCTTTCGCACGAGACTGGGGGACGGTTACACCGTAAGGTTAGCTACGTCTGGCAACCCGGGCACAAAGCCGCGGACACTCTCCTTCAAGCCCACTACAGGCAGGGGGAAACGGATGCCTGCTTCTCCCACACTCTCCTCTATTCTCTTCCAGATGGGCAACCAATCGTCCATTCCTCAGGACTCTCCCCTAGGGTGCATCTTCAAACACTGGTCAAAATGTGACCTCCAAGCCCTAAAAAAAAAAGTTTGATCTTCTTTTACAATACAGCATGGCCCCAATACAAACTGGGGAACCAGGAGGCCTGGCCAGAGAATGAACGCCTTAATTTTAGCACTATTCTCCAGCTAGATCTTTTCTGCTATCGGCAAGGCAAATGGACTGAAGTCCCAGATGTCCAAGCCTTTATGGCCTTAAGGGACAACCCAGACCTTTGCAAGACTTGCAGAGTAGACCAGCTGCTCTAACTATAATCAGCCAACCCTCACAAGAACAACGGCCCCCAGAAAAGGCTATCCCAAAGATAGAAACAAAAAAACAGAACCCCCAGAAAAACCTAAGTACATAAAAAAAAAGACAATTCTGCCCTGGCCTGTTTGGCTCAGCGGTTGGAGCATCAGCCTGCGGTCCAGAGAGACCGGGGTTCAGTTCCTACTAAGGGCACGTACCTCGGTTGCAGTTTGTCCCCGGCCCTGGTTGGGTTGTGCGGGTGGCAGCCACTCGATGCATCCCTTTCACGTAGATGTTTCTCTCTCTCTCTCTCCTTCCCACTCTATCTGAATAAAAATGGGAAAATGTCCTCGGGTGAGGATAAAAAAAAAAAGACAATTCTATCTATCCTAAGTTTCCAATGCTAGGACCGACTCCACCCTACCCAGGAATCTATCCCACCACCCTGTCTCTAGAATCTCCTAAATTATGTGCACTCCAAGAAACGAGTGGCCCAACAGACACCACCAAAGTTCATGTCCCATTTTCTTTTTAATTTTTTTTCTTTATTGATTATAGAGAGAGGAAGGGTGAGGGAGAGGGAGAGAGAGAGAGAAACATTGATAAGAGAGAACATCGACTGGCTGCCTCCTGCATGCCCCCCACTGGGGATCGGGCCCACAACCCGGGCATGTGCCCCGACTGGGAATCGAACCGGTGACCTCGTGGTGCATGGGTCGACGCTCAACCACTGAGCCACACTGGCCGGGCCCATGTCCCATTTTTTTGTTGTTGTTGTTAAATTTTTTTTTTTATCCTCACCGGAGGATATTTTTACATTTATTTTCAGATAGAGTGGGAGAGAGGAAGAGAGAGAGAGAGAGAGAGAGAGAGAGCATTGCAACTGAGGAATTGAACCTGGGACTCTTTGGTCTGCAGGCAAACGCTCTAACCGCCGAGCCAAACTGGCCAGGTCCTGTTCCATTTTCAATACAAGACCTTTTTCCATTGAAAAACAAATTGGGAAATTTTCGATGACCCTGATAAATACATAAAGAGATTCCAAAAAGTCTCGATGACCTTCGACTTAACTTGGGGAGCTATCTTACTTCTCTTACACGCAACCCTTACCCTTACTCACGGGGCACGTCAGGCCATCAGTGAAGCAGCCACACGGCCTGCTAACGACACGCACACGATCAATCAACAATACCCGCTACATCCAGAGGCACTTCTCCGAAATGACCCAGAATGGAACCACGATAACCCAAATGGAGCCTGGGCTCGGGATCATCTGCTAGGATGTCTAATACGGGATGAAGGCTAGCAAGGCTACGCCAGTCAATTCCAATAAACTAGCCACAACTGACCACGGGCCAGACGAAAACCCCAACGCCTTTGTAGAAAGGCCCTTCTAAGATATAAAAACCTGAAAACGAATTCACCAGAAAAGGATTTAATCATGAAGGACCAGTTGTTAACCCAAGCCACTTGGGATATATACATATGTATTGATTGATTTATATACAGTGATACCTCGGTTCTCGAACATAATTCATTCCAGGAGGACGGTCGAGAACCGAATTGTTCGAGAACCGAAGCAATGTAACCAATAGGAAAGCGTGACTCCACAAAGCGTGACTCTCTCTCTGCACTCACGCTGATGACGCGAGCAAGGCGCGCTGGGCCGAATGAACGCCATTCGGCTCAACTCGGCTCATCTCGGAAGTTCAAGTTCCAAATATTTGTTCGGATTCCGAGACAAAAGTTTCTCGAATCTCCATTTGGTCGAAAACCGAGGCGTTCGAGAACCGAGGTATCACTGTAGATCTATATAGATAGATAGGTTTGTTTTTTTTAAAGCTCCAAAAGCTAGGAATAGGACAGGCAGCCTCTTCACTGACCTCCTATGCAACAACCTCAGCCTTTTATAATCAAGACTTAAATGCAAAGATCAGAAAATGAGATAAGGAGAAACACAAGGAGAAAAGGTCACCTTAACACCCCTTCCGGGAGAATGAGTGAGTCCCTCCATTCCTACAATGACATTATCAATCAAACCTATGCCCGCAGGAGAGACTTGAAGGACCAGCCACTGGACAATGTGGACGAGGTCTGGCTCACTGGTGGGAATTGTTTTGTCAGGAGTGGGGTCCCCTATGCTGGATCTGCAATTGTGAAACCTCCAAAGGTCACTGAGGCCCGAGCCTTGCCCCGGGGCCTCCTGCCCAGCTAACTAAACCAACAGCTCTAACAGAAGCCCTTAAATTAGGGAAAAGAGAGTCAATATTTATACGGACTCTAAATATGCATCTCTAATACTTCACACTCATGCCTCTATTTAAAAAGAGCTATGACCTTATCAAACATGGGCCTCGGGCTTGCTTTGGCAGCACAGATACTAAAATGGGAATGATACAGAGAAGGTTAGCATGCCCCACGCACAAACATGGGCCTCAAATCCTTAAATTACTTCACACTATAAACTTACAGAAAAAAAATAACAATTATACACTACAAGGGACATCGAAATATAACAAAATAACACAAAAAAAATAAGGTTGCTAATATCTCTACTAAAAGAGCGGCTTCTGCTCAAGTTTCCCTTCTAGGGCCTTTCATTCCAACGGGCCCAGGGAAGGCCCTAATTCCTCACTATTCCCAGGAGAAAATTAATTGGGTCAAGCAACATGAATATACAAAACACACTGAAAACTAACACCAGCAGGAAAATCTCACTCACCTTCCACAAACCCTACAATGGAAAATTATTAAAAAGTTACATGAATCCTGGATGATTTGGTTCAGTGATTAGAGTGTTGGCCCATGGACCGAAGGCACTTGTGTTTGATTCCGGTCAAGGGCATGTACTTGGGTTGCAGGTTCGATTCCTGGCCCAGGACAGATCGTTCCAGAGGCAACCAATCACGTGTCTCTCTCACATCAATGTTTCTCTCTCTCCCCTCCCCCTTCCACTCTCTCTAAAAAGCAGTGGGAAAATATCCTTGGGTGAGGATTAACAACGACAACAAAATAGTTACATGACGTCTGCCATTTTACATGGAATAAATTTTAAAACCTGTCAACATCTTTTTACTAAAAAGGGCCTAATGAAATCCATCTGACAGGTTGGTCAGAACTGTGCCTCATGTGCCATAAATAACCCCCAGGAATCCAAGCCTCCTCCTTCAGTAAACTGGCTCAAAGAAGAGGAACCTACCCAGGGGAAGACTGGAAAATTGACTTCAGTCAAATGCCCCGTCAAGGTCACAAATACCCGTTACTCTTTATGGACAACTTGACCAGTTGGATAGAAGCCTTTCCGACCAGAACAAAAAGAACCCAGAGGGTAGTCAAAAATCTCTTCAAAGAGATTATTCCGCAACTTGAACCACCCAGCTCACTACAAAGTGACAGTGGGCTTTCCTTCACCTCCCCTGTTAGACAGGGAGTCTGTAGGGCTCTTGGGGTCAACTGGCACCTACATTCTGCCTGGAGACCTCAATCCTCAGAAAAAAACTTTAAAAGCTAATCAGCCCACCGGTGGGGCTCAGTGGACTGAGCATCATCCCACGGACTGAGAGGTCCTGGTTCGATTCCCAGTCAGGGCACATGCCGGGCTGTGGGCTTGATCCCCCATGAGAGGCGTGCAGGAGGCAGCCGATCAGTGTTTCTCTCTCACATTGATGTTTTTATCTCTCGTTCCCTTCCTCTCTCTCTCTAAAAAAAAAAAACAAAAACAAAAAGTAAAATATGACAAATTAACATATGCATACTAGTACTAATTATTACTACAATCCATCTCTAACTATAGTTTGACAAAATAATTCTCTCTTCCTAACGAGCCAAAAAATATTAGCAAAATATCTAAACTCAGTTCTTATATATGTCACCAACAACCCACTCCAGAAATGCAGGATACTCTATTAGGACAATCCACTGATCCTACTAATCTCCTTCTAAACCACCCTTGTCAGACTCCTTTATCTACCCCTAATATGGCTATTCAGGTTTCTGCAACCCCAATGAACTCCACTCAACATTAATATTTTAAATTCATAACCACCATCCTCTACACTACTCTATACATTAACTTTTCCTCCAGTGGAATTTTTAGTTATATACCGAAACTCATTATTGTTGGTTTCAGGGGAAGCTCTTATAGATATATATGGCATGCAACAAAATGCCATACTTCAAAATGAAACATCATTTCAAAAAACCTACCATAAAAAAGAATAATGCCAGACCAAATGCCAACAATTACACTATAAAACTACTTAATAATGTAATGAGTATATACAGTAACACCACACAAAACCTCATGACAAATAAATATTACCAGATAGTCCACGCTTTCAAAAACGACATCATCCTAAAAAATAACTATCCTAACTCTAACCACCACACCTTACATGCCTTACCTATCCTAAAATGACTAAATCACTCTAATCTTAATTCCACATTAATGTTATAACCCAGTAATTCTCCATCTGCTAGAAGAAGGAACCTCTCCTGGGTTCCTTGAGCCCGAGTTGTTTTTGCAAAAATTCTTGAAGAAATGCATCAGCCATGACCATGAGCTTAACTAATCAGGAGATGCCAGACGGGACGATGAGGCATTCAAGGCTAGGGTTTAGTAAATGTTAAGAAATATAAAACAAACAATTTGTGCAGCTACTAACTGCTGATATCTGCTTCTGTACACGTAGCTTGCTTGCTCTGCTAAACTCTTGAGTAACCCCTGTCCTATATAAGCAACCCGCCCCCTGAGCTCGGGGCTGCAGTTCTCCTCTGTGTAGGTTGGCTGCAGTCCCTGCGCAGGTAATAAAGTTCCTAATATTCAAAATTACTTGATGTCTGAGTGAGGATGACTCTCCTGGGTTACAACATTTGGAGGCCCCAGCGAGATCAACCGCGAAGTCCCCCTTTTCTGTGGGGTCGACCTCCTCAGACTACGTGGAGGGCTGCCTCCTCGCCCTCTGCACCTACATTTGTTCTGGCTTTGATTCGGCTAATTCGGACTAAGACTTCAGCCTCGAGGATCTGGGTAAGGGATATCCCCTTCCATCTGTTTTCTGTTCGGTAGCTCCGGAGCATTCTGGGATTGTTGCGGGCGGGACGCCGCTCAACCGCACTTCCCCCTCAGGGTCGGGACGCCGACTCCTGACCTGGGAAACCGGTGGGTTTCCATCTGTTCTGAAATTGGTACCAATCTGTTTTAATCTGGCACTTTCGGGTGCGTCTGGCACTTTCGGGTGCAGGAAACCAATGGGTTTCCATCTGGCACTTTCGGGTGCATCTGGCACTTTCAGGTGCGGGAAACCGGTGGGTTTCCATCTGGCACTTTCGGGTGCGTCTGGCACTTTCGGGTGTAGGAAACCAGTGGGTTTCCATCTGGCACTTTCGGGTGCATCTGGCACTTTCAGGTGCGGGAAACCGGTGGGTTTCCATCTGGCACTTTCGGGTGCATCTGGCACTTTCGGGTGCAGGAAACCCGGTGGGTTTCCATCTGGCACTTTCGAGTGCATCTGGCACTTTCGGGTGCATCTGGCACTTTCGGGTGCAGGAGACCCTGTGGGTTTCCATCTGGCACTTTCGGGTGCGTCTGGCACTTTCGGGTGTGTCTGGCACTTTCGGGTGCATCTGGCACTTTCGGGTGCAGGAGACCCGGTGGGTTTCCATCTGGCACTTTCGGGTGCATCTGGCACTTTCAGGTGCAGGAAACCGGTGGGTTTCCATCTGGCACTTTCGGGTGCAGGAAACCCGGTGGGTTTCCATCTGGCACTTTCGGGTGCGTCTGGCACTTTCGGGTGCAGGAGACCCGGTGGGTTTCCATCTGGCACTTTCGGGTGCATCTGTTCTGAAATTAGTATTTTGTGTTTTGACCATGGTTGTCTGTCTATTTGTGTTCCATGTTCTCTGCTGCTCTAACTGTTTTGCTTTCGGCAGGATGAGACAAGGACCATCAATGCCCCGTACCCCCCTTGAATGCATTCTTGCTAACTTTTCTGACTTTTCCAGGAGATCCCAAGGCTACAGAACACCAGCCGATCCTGGGGTCCTCCGGACCCTCTGTGAATTGGAGTGGCCAACATTCCGAGTTAATTAGCCATCTGAAGGGTCTTTTGACTTGAGTCTTTTGTTTGCTATGCGGTCCGTTATGTACGGGGTTTCCCACCCTGATAAAAGGTATACATTGATATTTGGATTGGAGATGTCAGTGTCTGGAGGTTCAAATGAAAGGAAAAACAGTTTTGTTAACAATGCCTCCGCCTGCCCTGAAGGACAGTTAACTCCTCCCAGCCCCAGAGGACATTCTATCTTGTCCTTCAGGACCCCTCTTGAGGATATACTAAAATGTTAATTAACCTGAATTTGCCTACTTTAGGTTCTTATTACAGAAAAGCTAGAAGATGAATTTGGATCTGTTAATGCTTTCAATGCCAGCCTGGGCTGCTCCTCTGCAGCAGGTTTGGTAGCAGCTAATTTCCAACAGGCTTCTCTGAACTTTAGGGAATTAAATATAGGGATCCCAGGCACGGGTACAAAGTGCTCTTGGAGAGTTAAAAAACACTCTGCCCCGCATAAACATATGTGTTAGGATGTTGCTCCCCTTTCCTGCATCCTTTTGTAAACCTGGGGTCAGGGGAAATGTTCCCATTCCTCTGACTATGGTACTGTTGGGGGAAGGGCTTCCTTAGACACTTTTCACCGTGTTCTCCTGTTAGGCCTATTGGCCCAATTGGCTGAATTAGCAAAGGTAATAATAGCAGACTTAAGGGAAACAGGACACATAGAACAGGGTCACCCTAGGAAGGGAAACATGAGGAAGGGTCAGGATAGCAGGCCTAGGTCCCGATTAGAGATAAAAAAGACAAGGGCAAAGTCAGATATAGAGGAACAAAATGAAAAGCCATCCTTAATTTAGGAAAATGACAGGGCTAGGGCTCCTTCAGCTGAGCCCTCCGGAGCCCAGAATAATGCAAGACAATAGGGAACAAACTAGTTAGTTTCCTGGTAGATACTGATGCAGCAGACTCAGTCCTGACCGAGCCAATGGGACCCTAACCTACTCCTGGACTTCAAAGAGGACTATGGACCTTGGGAAAATACTGTGACTCATTTGTTTCTGTTCCTGCCGGAATGCCCATACCCCCTACTCAGACATGATCTACTCCAGAGATCATTCAATTGCTGGCCACTGCCACTCCAGGCCATCCCTCACATCAAGTTCCCCAGGATATTGCCATCAATCCTGCCAGCCTGCCTCCAGATGATGACCCGGAGAAACCTCTGCAGGACTGCCTGGAGGCAATCGACACTATAGACGACCACCCAGACCTCAAGGATGACCCACTGCCATCATCAGATGAGGTATTGTTCACGGATGGGAGCAGCTATGTCCAAGAAGATATCAGGTATGCTGGGGCAGCAATAGTAACTCTGGACCATATCATTTGGTCTCAGTCATTAAACAGAGG